CCCCGCCGCGCTTGCGCAGCCCTGGGTGCGTCGTGGCCCCCAGGCTTTCTCTCACTAGTCCCAGTCCTGCCTCCCTAGCAGCCAAAACAAATCCCACTTCCTTCTCCGGCCGCGCCTGGGCGTTGTCGGGCCCATCGAAAGGGGGACCGTCGCCTGGGGGCGAGCTCTCCTGACGCCACACACACCCCTGGCCTTTCCGCCATTCCTTTGTGCCGCAAACACCGGGCGCTGTCCCGCAGGCCCCGGGAATGGGGCCGTAAACAAGTTAGGCACAGTCCTGCCCCTCACTCGGGGGTATTGGAGGGGGGGGGGGGAGGGAGCCGGAGGAGAGAGAAACGTCTGCTGGTTTCGATAAAAAAGACATTGTAACCCGGCAAACAATGGGTCCCTGCTGCCTGTCACTACTCGAGCCAATTAAGCAGAGACAGGGTTAAATATTTATTCCAATATTGCCGGCAGTATGCGAGAGCAGCAGGTTAGCCACAAAAATCTGCTCTGCAGCCCCCCCATAAGCCAGCTGCTTATATAGGTAGAACTACAAAGGAAAAGTAGGCAAAAGAGCAGTTTACAGATATGCAACAGGACTAGGTGTCTGCAAAGGGCGTAGTGATATGCAAGGGCTGGGGTTACATGAGGAAACAGCCAAAGGGAATGCCGGGTGGGCAATTAACGGGTAAGCAGGCTGGAGGTTTGCAAGGGCCTGCAGGTATGCAAAAAGCGCTGGGGTACGTACCTTCAAAGGGCTGGCGATTCTCTGGTTTCTGCAGCATCGTTAATCTTGCCATGATAATAGGCAGCTCCAAATCGGGTGGAAGGGCTGCATCTCCAGGTCAGCTCCAGCCTGGGTAGAATGTGCCTTCTTTAATCAGAATAAAACAGTCATGATTAACAGAGCATGATTAATATTTCTTACAATACGAGCTAGTTCCCCAACATTCTATTTCTGCCCCCTTTCAACGTGAGAAATTAAATAGTGTAAAGGGAGAGAGAGCCGCATAGGGTGGACAGGGAGGAGGGAGATCTTTGAGGTGAGGGATGTGGCTCATTAGCCTTGAGGACAAGGAAAAGCAGAACTGCAGAAGTATCGGGGATTAGTGAGCGCTTGAGGGCAGAGGTTGGGAAGAAACTGAAAAGGTCCTGTGACTGCCGTGTGGTGAGAAGGATTTATTGATTGATTTACTTTATTGTCTAAAGTTATATATGTGTCTCCTTTTTCCCCAGTTGGCCCCCTCCCCACCATTCCCACCCCAGGCAAGCCCCCACCGCCCCAGTGTCTGTGTCCATTGGTTATGCTAATAATGCATGCAAACAAGTCCTTTGATTGCTCTCTAACCTCCCTTCCCTCCCCTGCCATTTGTCCCTGGATCTATTTTTGTTCATCAAATTATGTTGATCAGTATATCCCACATATGAGTGAGATCATGTGATATTTCTCTTTCCCGGACTGGCTTATTTCGCTTGACATAATGCTCTCCAGTTCCATCCATGCTGTTGCAAATGGTAAAAGTTCCTTCTTTATTATAGCAGCATAGTATTCCATTGTGTAGATGTACCACAGTTTTTTAATCCACTCATCTGCTGATGGGCACTTAGGCTATTTCCAAATCTTAGCTATGGTGAATTGTGCTGCTATGAACATAGGGGTGCATATATCCTTTCTGATTGGTGTTTCTGGTTTCTTGGGATATAGTCCTAGAAGTAGGATTACTGGGTCAAATGGGAGTTCCATTTTTAACTTTTTGTGGAAACTCTGTACTGTCTTCCACAGTGGCTGCACCAGTCTGCATTCCCACCAGCCGTGCAGGAGGGTTCCTTTTTCTCCACATCCTTGCCAGCACTTGTCGTTTGTTGTTTTGTTGATGATAGCCATTCTTACAGGTGTAAGATGGTACCTCATTGTTATGGTGAAAAGGATTTAAAAGAAAACTGGATTTCAGGGTGGCCAGAGTGAAAAGGGGATCAATCATTGCAGTCTACCAGGTGCACAGTAGTGGTGGGAGAAGAGATGGAAAGGTCCAGACCGGTAGAGAATTTTTATGAGTTTATTTGAGCCAAACTGATGACAATTGCTGGGAAGCAAAATCTCAATGGAGTGCTCTGGAGAATGGCAGTCTTGCAGCTTCTACATTAAATCAGAGGAAGAGGTCTAAGGAGAGTGACATGAAATTCATTGGTGGTAGATTAAGGGTGGGGGAAAAGCAAACTGGGGAAATCTCTGGGATTGGGTAAAAGTAAAACAAACATTTCTCTTACATTTGGGGGTACAGGGCAGTTAATAATTAACATTTGAAAGGTTGTTAATAATTAACATAGAGATGGTATTGGGAGCAATATAACAGTGTGGGCTTCTGCAATAGGTTGTGCCCTAAGGGGTCTGGAGAAGTTTCAAAGCTGTGTTATCTTAGATCCAAAAAGACAGTAGACAGGCTCACCTAAGTTAAAGATTGACCTATGACAAGGAACTCACTGGTCTCTAGGACAGGACTACCCGCTATGGCTCACTTCTAGTTCGGCATTTTTATGTTCACACCCTCCTATGTGGTTACTTCCAGTCTCAATGAGTTTGTGGGGCCTACCATGCTGGCCCCCCACCCCACTCCCGGAACTTGTCAGGTTTAGTATATCCTGTTTTTCATCCACAGAGATAAGTTTTGGAGGCAGACTTGTATAGTAGATTAGGAGTCAGACTATCTGCCTTGGAATTCTTGGTTTCCCAGTTAGGGGCTCAGTTTACTCACCAGTAAAAAGGGAATGCTAATACTTTTTCTATATAGTTGTTGTAAGGGTTAAGTAAAATAGATGACCTATGGATACTGTCCAGCGCGTAGTAAAAGGCTCTACAAGGATAGCTGTGGAGGATCTTGAGTAGATGAATCCCAGTTGGTTGATGACATGAGTAACTTGGTGGATGGTGGTGCCATGTAGGGAGATGGGAACACTGGAATTGGGGCACGGAGAGGGACGAGTTTGGGAAGGAAATTTAAAATTCTGTTTTGACTGAGATGCCAAGTTAGAATTCAAATGAGTATGTTAGTGCTGCAGTTAGATGAACTTGATTTTGTACCTTAGGAGTAAATTTTCTGTGTGTTTTTGGGCACATTAGCATGTTTTTGATATTGAACATTGTGGAGTTAGATGAGACTACATACCTAGGGAGGAAGAAAATTGATGGCATAGTTTTTCCTATTTTATGTTACTCATTGAAGTAACATAAAATAAGGAAGGCTTATTTTTTAAAATTAATTATTCAGGGGTGGAATTTATAACTTCAGCTTTAATATTAATAGGATGTCCCCAGGGTT